ACAAAAGTATTAATGAATCTAAAATCTTTAGATTAATTGCTTCAATAAAGGAAGAAAAAGTATTACTCGACAAAGAAGAATTTCCTAAACAATATAATCAAAAAGCAATACTCTTACAAGAAAAAGAAAACAACCTAATCTATGACTGGCATATAACCCACTATAAACGATCAGAAATGATAACATCATCTTATGATAAATTGGATAATCAATTTAATGATTTTTGATGAACCAATTATAGACCAAGATATAATCATGGAACCTACAGAAATTAATACTGAAGAACAAGACCAAGTTATAGCAAATATTGCTACCCAAAACCTTGACCATGATTATAAACCAAAAGAATTAGATGCCAAAAACTGGAAAGAAAAAACAGCTCAATACAAAATGTACGATGAACCACAACTAGATATTAAAGAAAAAGAACTCTGCACAGAATGCAAATAACCCTACAACAAAAAAGAATTAACTAGTAGATATTGTAACAAATGTTACTAAGGAGCCACCAAATATATTAGTTGTAAATAACCAACACCTGTTAAAATATTGAAAAATGCAAAATGCACTATTTGCTTCCAAATGAAAGTAGAACACAAAAGAAAACAAGAAAAAGAATAAATTCAAGAAATTGAAAAAGAAAAATTTGTACCTAATAAAAAATTAAAAGTTACTTTGAGTTTAACTGAAACAACAGTCAAAACTGAAGAATTTAACTTCAACAAAATCGAAAGAACTAAAGTAGAACAAATGAAACAAGAAATAATTAATCTAAAAAACTAACTATTGAACAAAGCGAGAACATTAAATATCTCACTGAAGCAATAAAAATTCAGCAAGAAATGGTAAATATCATATACAACGAAAATATCAAATTAGCACAGAAATTTGAGAATTTCGAAGAAAAAGATTATCTATATCACGCAATACAAATAACAGTATGGCAAAACCAAGCTGTAATTGAATGGAATATTCTAGAACAAGAATATCCTGGAGAATGATTTGATAGTATTCAAAGAGAATTTAATAATAACCTCAGAAATAATAACTCACCCTGAAAAATAAAAAAGTAAAAATACCTCTGAAAAATAGAAAACTAAACAGTGAAAGGCACCCAAGTTACACCAAAACTATTTGATAATTTATCGTTATAAATATAAATATTTACATTAACTGTATTTTCTATAAATATATTATTAATCATATAAATAATTAAAAAAATGAATTATAAATAACAAAGATAACAAAGTATTACAAAAGTAACAGGAAAAACTTATAAAAGAAAGGTATTTTGATCTTGATTCAAACATGCCCAAGCATACTGAACATAAAAGACGAATACCCAAAACACGAGAAAGATATACAATTTGCAATTACTGCAAAGCTAAAGATCTACCTTGTGATAATAAAATACCCTGCACATTTTGTAAACTTAGTAATAAAATTTGTAAAAGAAATTATCAACTATTAGATAAAACTAAAGTACTTAAAAATATTTGAAGCAAAAGTAAACTTACTCCATACAATTGAAGAAGCAAAGCTAATCTTTAAATCACTCAAAGAACAACACGACTTTGATAAATTATACAAAACACTTGATAACTTACAAGACATTTCTAACAAAGAAAGTGAATGCCCAAACACACTACAACAAGTAAAAAAAATACACACCACACCATACTCCAAACACGCCTATATAAAGTATCATAATCATAAACGAAAGTGTACCAAAGAATTATCAACAAACATCAACAACTGTGATAATTGTATAGAATGAGTGATTTAAAGATTAGCTTTGCTTCTTCAATTGTATGGAGTAAGTTTACTTTTGCTTCAAATATTTTTAAGTACTTTAGTTTTATCTAATAGTTGATAATTTCTTTTACAAATTTTATTACTAAGTTTACAAAATGTGCAGGGTATTTTATTATCACAAGGTAGATCTTTAGCTTTGCAGTAATTGCAAATTGTATATCTTTCTCGTGTTTTGGGTATTCGTCTTTTATGTTCAGTATGCTTGGGCATGTTTGAATCAAGATCAAAATACCTTTCTTTTATAAGTTTTTCCTGTTACTTTTGTAATACTTTGTTATCTTTGTTATTTATAATTCATTTTTTTAATTATTTATATGATTAATAATATATTTATAGAAAATACAGTTAATGTAAATATTTATATTTATAACGATAAATTATCAAATAGTTTTGGTGTAACTTGGGTGCCTTTCACTGTTTAGTTTTCTATTTTTCAGAGGTATTTTTACTTTTTTATTTTTCAGGGTGAGTTATTATTTCTGAGGTTATTATTAAATTCTCTTTGAATACTATCAAATCATTCTCCAGGATATTCTTGTTCTAGAATATTCCATTCAATTACAGCTTGGTTTTGCCATACTGTTATTTGTATTGCGTGATATAGATAATCTTTTTCTTCGAAATTCTCAAATTTCTGTGCTAATTTGATATTTTCGTTGTATATGATATTTACCATTTCTTGCTGAATTTTTATTGCTTCAGTGAGATATTTAATGTTCTCGCTTTGTTCAATAGTTAGTTTTTTAGATTAATTATTTCTTGTTTCATTTGTTCTACTTTAGTTCTTTCGATTTTGTTGAAGTTAAATTCTTCAGTTTTGACTGTTGTTTCAGTTAAACTCAAAGTAACTTTTAATTTTTTATTAGGTACAAATTTTTCTTTTTCAATTTCTTGAATTTATTCTTTTTCTTGTTTTCTTTTGTGTTCTACTTTCATTTGGAAGCAAATAGTGCATTTTGCATTTTTCAATATTTTAACAGGTGTTGGTTATTTACAACTAATATATTTGGTGGCTCCTTAGTAACATTTGTTACAATATCTACTAGTTAATTCTTTTTTGTTGTAGGGTTATTTGCATTCTGTGCAGAGTTCTTTTTCTTTAATATCTAGTTGTGGTTCATCGTACATTTTGTATTGAGCTGTTTTTTCTTTCCAGTTTTTGGCATCTAATTCTTTTGGTTTATAATCATGGTCAAGGTTTTGGGTAGCAATATTTGCTATAACTTGGTCTTGTTCTTCAGTATTAATTTCTGTAGGTTCCATGATTATATCTTGGTCTATAATTGGTTCATCAAAAATCATTAAATTGATTATCCAATTTATCATAAGATGATGTTATCATTTCTGATCGTTTATAGTGGGTTATATGCCAGTCATAGATTAGGTTGTTTTCTTTTTCTTGTAAGAGTATTGCTTTTTGATTATATTGTTTAGGAAATTCTTCTTTGTCGAGTAATACTTTTTCTTCCTTTATTGAAGCAATTAATCTAAAGATTTTAGATTCATTAATACTTTTGT